TCCTCGATCTGTGTTGTAGGAGCCCAAGATCTTGAAAAAGAAAACATAAAAATTCGTAAAATACTGTTCCATTAGGAAAGAATGAAGCAGATCTAATTCTGGTTTGATGTGTGAGAAGAGAGGAGTGAAGATGGGGTATATATAGGGCGGACAAGGCCGGTGTGGATGATTGAGAAAAGTTCCCATCCATCAAGCAACGAATAATATATAGATAAAATAATAATCCCATTATTGTGGGCTCTTTCCGGCCAGTATCGAACTTTCTTGATCTACCAAGTTGTTAGTCACAGAATTTCAAGTCTAACTCGACCTGCCTTATTGACCTTTTCAATTTGAATCGGTCGTAATTTGAACTAGTTTACCAGTCTTTTGCCGATTATGGTCACAAGACGACTTTATTGAGAGCACAATTTTAAATAGCAGTTTTCTCGCAAATAAAAAATAATCTCATATTATACTAGTCTTCATAATTCATAACAAATTAAAAGTTATTATGCACAATGGTATATTAACACCTCCTTCACTTCACACCAAGGGGTAACATTTTTTTTTTTTTTTTTTTTTTTGCATAAAATCATATCTTTTTATTATTAATTTAATTTACAGGAAAATCTGAAACCGCTATTCAAAAGTACATTTTAAGTAAAGAAATGTGTTTTTCTATTAATAAAAAAACACACAATAATTCAAAACAAATATACACACAACACAAGAAAAATGTACATAAAATTCAATTAAAATGTATGACACATACCTTTGGTATGATGGTGGCATCTCGCGCATGATAATATCATCATGCGAATTGGTCAACTTTAGGTTATTATTTACATGCTATCATTACTACTTTATTGATTAAAAAAAGTATATAGAATGTTTTGCAACAGACTAAATTAAATATGAGAGAGTGAAAGCATATTCGCAGCCATTGGGAGAAAAAGAATCCTCTCAATATGCTCCTATTAAAATTTTCAATGTGATTTACTATAACATCAAAGAATTTACGAAGCAGTTGGTTTTAACAAGGAAATTAGCGGTTAATGACCTTGTGATTCTCCCAAATGAGAGGTCATGGATAGTATTGAATTGCTACATTGATAGAGTCAGTCAGTCAGTAATACTCAAAAAAAAAAAAAAAAAAAAGATTGGGAATAATATTGGGAGAAGGGTATTTTTAACTATTTTTGTTGCCTAAATTTTCTTGAAATTAAATGGGAATGAATTACAATTTTTCCAACCAAACCCTGGATTATAAATTGAAAACATGTGCCCGCATGGGCAGGTCAACTGGTCATAGATGTGAAGTTTGGAAAGGATGACCAGGGATTGAGTCTCACCAGCCGCAGTGTGGGAACAACCTCTCAAAGTGGGGGGCTCCTTGTGCGCAATAAGCAAAAGTTTAGCCTCTGTGGTTCATATTTAGTTGAGTTACCATAATTTACATCTTCCCATATGCTCTGTCGGGCCGGATGTGGGGGACCCTCAGGGTTGGGGTTCAACCTTTTGGAAAGAATAAATTTACATGAATTTTACGATGCTGTAAATGTTGAACTGCGAGAGCATTTAAGTCTCACTTACATTTCTTTGTTGGCATAATTTACGGTGCGTGTGTTTTGTACTTAATGTGTGTGAGTTTGTGCTTAAGATCTAACACTTAAGGTGCGCAATACCCGCACATGAACCCTTCCATATATATATATATATATATATATATATATATATATATATATATATATATATATATATGAGTGCACTCCCTTGAGAATCACTCCAAAAATATAATGGATCTTAAGTAATTAGTAGAAAAAATATGGTGATATTTTTGCATTACGCAAACTTAAAATTATATTGCAATTAACAGTAGAGTTAAGTTTTTAACACTATAGAATGTAATTAGGCACAATGACATAGTTTATATATATGTTGATATATCTTAAAAACTAAACCAAAAGTCAAAGGTAAACCATAAATATTGAACTCTTAAACAATAAAAATGAATCCCTAAACTAAACTAAAAACAAAAAACAAAAACAAAAATTAAACCATAAATTCTAAAATATGAACTCTTAAGAACTTTAACATTTGGTGCACTTTATACCATTGTTAGTAGGAATAAGGTTTAAATTGGCCACTGAACGTAACTTGAAAGTGCAATTAGGTCACTGAACGAAAAAAAAGTGCAATTAGGCCACTGAACACTTCAAAAATGTGTAATTTCACCTGATAGCAGGTTACCCACAATTTTAGCAGGTTATCTGCTTACGTGGCAGCTGAGTTGGCATTTTTAATAAATTTTAATTAATTTTTAATAAATTTTAATAATAACTTTTTATTAATTTTTTTTTTTAAAAAATAAAAACGACTTTATTTTATTTTTTATTTAATTTTTTCCAATTATTTTATAAAATTTATTATTAAAATTAATTATTAAAAATTATTAAAAATGCCAACTAAGCTGCCACGTAAGCTGGTAACCTGCTAAAATTGATGGTAACCTGCTATTCGGTAAAATTGCATACGTTTGGAGAGTTCAGTGACCTAATTGCACATTTTTTAAGTGTTCAATGACCTAATTGCACTTTTTTTTTTTTCATTCAGTGGCCTAATTGCATTTTCAGGTTACGTTCAGTGGCCAATTTGAACCTTATTCCTTGTTAGTATATACTCTAAAGGTAAAACATAACTACTAAACTCTAACTAAAGTAAACTTTTAAACCAAATTACAATTTAAAAAAAAAAAAAAAACACACACACACACACACACAATTAAACAAACAAAACAAAACTATAAGCTCTTAAAAGATAAATCATTTCACTGGCGCACTTATATATATCACGAGATGTGCACTCTATATTATTACTTAGTGCATTCCATAATTTTACCACTTGCACTTAAAGTTTGAGTTATTTATGAAAATATGTATGTCATCGCATTTTTCAATCTTGCTTTAAAGTCATTAGATTTTCTCAAATTGATGGTTCTAATTGGTTTCTAGTTCTCTTCCATATGGCCAAGTTCCTATTTGATCCAAATTATATATATATATATATATATATATATATATATATATATATATATTATGATCAAAAACCCTAATTAATTCACCTACCTTAGCTTGTAGACCACCTCTTCCCTTCTTTAATTTATTATCTCTTTCCGTTAGGGCTGTGCAAAAACCGAAGAATCCGACCCACCCGCCCGACCCGAAACCCGACGGACCAATCCGTGGAGCGAACCGTATCCGAAATCCTTACCCGATCCGATGCAACGCTAGAAGACGGACTGAAGGGGTTTGGGTGGGAGGCATTAAACGCCACCCGAACCCGTCCGACTACCCGATGAAAGTGTAGGGTTTTTTACGCTACATAAGACGACGTCGTTTGGTGTATGTATATATATCACTCATTTCCAGCAAGCGCAGCCGTGCTCTCACTCTTGACTCTTCTAGACTTCTCTCATCTCTCATCTCTCCAGTCTCCACTCTCGTTCTCTCTTTCGCTCTGGTCTTTGAGAGTTTGAGACTTTGAGTCTTAGACTCTTAGTGTCTTACTCTCTAAGACTCTAAGAGTCTTAGTCTCTGTTTGTTAGTCTGGTGGAAGCCCTCTTCGGAGCATCGGAGTAGCGAGTGGCGGAGTGTTGGAACGGTGGAAGCCCTAGACCCTAGTCCGGTCACCGGAGTCTGGTAGAACGGTGGAACTGTGGAACGGTGGAATAGTTGATTCGAAGCCCTTTGTTCTCGAGGGATTAAATCTGAGAAACGAAGTAATTACTAAACCCTATTTACATTTCCGTTATAGATTATTGTGTATTTGTCTTCTTGATTAGGGTTTCTAATTTTTATGATTATGTGGACTGTGATACTTGTAAATCCGTTGAGAAGTTCCGGATTGCATGTCACTAGTCCTTTGAGTTTGAATTTGTGAATTGTTTGATTAGGGTTTCTAATTTGTAACCTAATCTCAGTAATCTGTGGACTCACTGTACTTGTAAATCCGTTGAGAAGTTCCGGATTGCATGTCACTAGTCCTTTGAGTTTGAATTTGTGAATTGTTTGATTAGGGTTTCTAATTTGTAACCTAATCTCAGTAATCTGTGGACTCACTGTACTTGTAAATCCGTTGAGAAGTTCCGGATTGCATGTCAGTAGTTCTTTGAGTGTGAATTTGTTAATTGTTTGATTAGGGTTTCTAATTTGTAACCTAATCTGTGGTGGAAGCCATACTACCCTAGCCCCTTGCCATTGTGTGTTAAATACTGAAATCCATATAAATGTTAAGCATGATGGTATTTCTGTCAATTCTGTGGAAGCCATATAAATGTGGGAGTGTGTCTCACTGTCTTGTACTCATGTGTGAGTGTGTGACTGAAATCCATATAAATGTTAAGCATGATGGTATTTCTGTGGAAGCCATATAAATGTGGGAGTGTGTCTCACTGTCTTGTACTCATGTGTGAGTGTGTGACTGAAATCCATATAAATGTTAAGCATGATGATATTTCTGTGGAAGCCATATAAATGTGGGAGTGTGTCTCACTGTCTTGTACTCATGTGTGAGTGTGTGACTGAAATCCATATAAATGTTAAGCATGATGGTATTTTGGTGGAAGCCATATAAATGTGGGAGTGTGTGACTGAAATCCATATAAATGATGAGCATATAAAGTAGCATACACCTACTTAGCTTGAATGCCTGATTATGGATTTCATTGTAAATTGTAAATTGTAATTTGTAAGTTGTTAGTTACTTACTTGTAAATACTTGTAACTGTTGTAAGTTGTAACTGTGAAATTGTAAGTTTATGGATATGTGACCCTTAAATCATTTATGTGCAATTCTGCATACATGATGAAATGTAAAATTCACTGAATTCTGCCTGTTTAAGTGTTTAACACTTTAATTGATACATGTGTGTATGTGCCAATTGACAAAGCCCATTCTCTGTTGATGATTTTGAATGAGTGATTTCCCATTCTGTGTCACTGATACTTTCCCCTTTTTAGATGGAAAGTGTTAGTGGTGGGACTGGTGTTACTGGTGTATCTGGAACCCAACCTGAGTTGGAAGCACCTGCTGTAGAGACTGTTACTCCTCAGTCTCAGCAGCCTTTGCCTCCACCTGTTCCAAAGAAAAGGAAAGAGGTTGAATCCAGGGCTCCATGTTGGGATCACTTTGAAAAGATCAAAGACAGTGAGGGCATTGTCATCAAAGGAAAGTGTATATATTGTGCAAAAGTGTATTGCTGTGAGAGCAAGAAACATGGGACTTCATCTCTAAGACTTCATGTGGTAAACTGCCTTAAAAATCCTCACTCTAAGGAGACAAGGCAGTCCCTACTCACATTCCAACCTGCACCTTCTTCTGCTGGAACTCAAAGTAGTGAAGGAACTGAAGGGGTGTTGGGTACTTGGGTGTTTGATAAGGACTTGATAAGGAGAGCCTTAGCTGAGATGATTATTTTAGATGAACTTCCTTTTAGAATTGTTGAGGGACAGTGTTTTAGAAAGTTTGTTTTAGTTTGCTGTCCTAGGTTTAAAATCCCTTCAAGATGGACTATCATTAGGGACATTTTCAAGATATTTTCTGATGAGAGGGTCAACTTGAAGAAGTTTTTTAGGACTAGCAGTAAGAGGGTAAGTATCACAACTGATACTTGGACCTCAGTCCAGAGAATAAACTACATGTGCATAACTGCACATTTCATTGATAGTGAGTAGAAGCTGCAAAAGAAGATTATTTCATTTGTTCCTATATATTCCCACAAGGGGGAAAGTATTGCAAAGGCTTTAGAGAGTTGCCTTTTGGACTGGGGTCTAAAATCAGTGTTTAGTGTGACAGTTGATAATGCTTCCAGCAATGATACTGCCCTAGGTTTCTTGAAGAAGAAGTTGGGTTCTTGGGGTTGTACTTCTGTTAGGTGTAAGTATTTGCACATGAGGTGCATTGCTCACATTCTTAACTTGGTGGTACAGGATGGGTTGAAAGAATGTGACAGTTCAGTTAAGAAAGTCAGGGATGCTGTTAGGTATGTGAGGAGCTCACCTGCTAGGTTGCAGAAGTTTAAATCACTAGCTGATCTAATTGGGGTGGAAGCAAAAAATTCTCTGTGTCTAGATGTCCCTACAAGGTGGAATTCCACATATATGATGCTTAATACTGCATTACTGTTTCAGAAGGTATTTGAAGCCTATGATGATCATGACAGTTCATTTAAATCTGATTTGGGTGGAAGTGTACCTGATTTCTTAGATTGGGAATCCATTCAATCTTTGGTTATGATTCTGAAATCTTTTTATGAAATGACTGTTAGGATTTCTGGATCATTGTATGTGACTTCTAATACCTTCTTCTCTGAGATTTCTGATTTGTCTTGCTTGTTGAAAAATATGGAGGAAGCTACAGAAGATAGTGTTAAACTGATGGGTAAAAATATGAGGGCAAAATTTGATAAGTATTGGGGTGAGCCTGAAAAAATGAATTTTTTGATATTCTTTGCAAATATCTTAGACCCCAGGGACAAAATTGAGTATATGCCCATTCAGTTTAACTAGTTATATGGTGAGGAAAAGGGTAAAACAATGTTTGATAAGGTGATTGTTGGCCTTAAGGAGTTGTTTGAAGATTATGTTGCATGCTTCCCTGTCCAGTCTGTTGAACAATCTTAAAAATTTTCTCCCTCAATAACAATATCTGATTCTATTTCTGTTGGGAGACCTCAATCATTACTGAAATCTCAGATTAAGAAGCAAAAATTGGTGAGTGGGGATTTGTCTAGGAAAAAAACTGAGTTGGAAGTGTATCTCTCTGAGGTTATTGTGGATGAGGATGATTCATTTGACCTTCTAAGATGGTGGAAGCAACAATCTGAAAGGTTCCCTGTCTTATCTAAAATGGCAAGGGATATTCTAGCTGTTCCAATATCAACTGTTGCTTCAGAATCAGCTTTCAGTACAAGTGGAAGGGTACTTGATGCCTTTAGGAGTTCCCTAACTCCTAGAATTGTTGAGGCATTGGTGTGTGCACAGGATTGGCTAAGGTTAAGCAACCAACCAATCTCAATTGAAGAAAATATTGAAGATGTTGAAAGGATAGAGAAAGGTATATACTTCTAACTGTTTACTCAAATGATCTGTTTACTTATTTACTTATTTGATTTGTGATTACTTATTTACAATTTACTTATTGAATTTCCATTTTGTTTTTGTACTGCAGAGTTGTGCTGCACATCCAGCACTGGAACTGGAATGCCTACAATTGTTGTATGTTTACTTATTTACTTATTTGATTTGTGATTACTTATTTACTTATTTGATTTCATGATAAATTTATGCCTCTATATGACTGTATCAGTGTATCATGTATGTGTATCAATGATTCAAATCAATGTCCCAAGTGAGGCTGGGAAGTTGGAACTGGAAACTGGAAACTGGAAAGTGCTCATGGCTAGGTAACATTTTAAATGTTGCTGCCATTGAGCTCAGGTATCAGTATAAATAGTTAAATACTGTATAAATAGCTAAATCTTCTGAGTTCTGACTCACTATACTTATAAGTTATACACTTATACCTGTATAAATGTTCTTTATTGTGCTATGATGATGCTTCCACCAGGTTCTCTGAATATATAGAATTGGGTTTGGTATGTTGCCTATGAAGTGTGGTGTATGCCATACTCATTGAGTAGTGTTCCCCCAATCCTAAATTGATATGGAAAAAAAAATATCTGAGCACTCATTGAGTCTTTGCTATTTAAATATAATTCATTAGTTGTCTAAGCATAAGTATTATTCTGCTATGATGATGCTTCCACCATTTCTCTGAATATATAGAATTGGGTTTGGTATGTTGCCTTTGAAGTGTGGTGTTTATGCCATACTCATTGAGTAGTGTGCCCCCAATCCTAACTTGATACGGAAAAAAAGCTATCTGAGCACTCTTAGAGTCTTAGCCTTTTACAGTTTCAGTTTGTGTGATTGTGTCAATTCTAACTAACTACAAATGTTTTGAACTTATTGTGTTTTTATGTGTTCACTTATCAGGAAGAAGAATAGACATAGAGTACTCTATATTATATTAATCATATATTCATATATTGCTTTTGGAGTTTTAGATATCTGGCTTTCTTTTGCTGATGTGCTGACTGCTGATTTGAGAGTGGAGACTGATGCAGTGCTGCTGTTGCAACTTGCCTGCTTGGAGTGCTTGCTATGAACAATTATAATTCTCTTTAATTTTGTAACTTCTAACTTTCTAAGTTGTAACTAATCTGTTGAATGTAGATTATATGTAAGCTAATTTGTATTTTGCTCATTATATGTTTACACTTTTATAAGTTTACTTATGTTATTTACTTAATTTTGTTGTTAAGTAGTTAGTAATTACTAGTTAGTGGCTTTTAGTACTTAAGTAGTTCATTAGTTAGGTACTTAGGTGTTCCATCATCCATGAATAATTGAATTTTTAAATTTTTTACATTCCCATAAAACCGATTTACAACTCGGATATCCGACCGATCCGAAAATAACTATAACCGATCGGATTGGTCAACAAAAAAAAAACGGTTAGGGTGATCAAAAGACAAATCCGAAATCCGACAGGGGGTCTCATTCCGCAATCCGAACCGTCCGATCCGTCCGACTGCACAGCCCTACTTTCCGTTACTAAGCTAAAAATCTGGAAAAAAATAATAATAATAATAAAAATGCCACTGTACGTACTGCCTCTGTTTCGATCTCAAGGGTTGCGTTTCCCATAAAAATAAAAGCTACTGCAGGCTACTTCAGATCATACCGCACCTGCTGCCTATAACTAACCACACTCAGATCAGAGAGACAACATTAATAAATTCAAACCACTATAACCTGTGCTCCTTGTAATTCCAAAACTTTTAACCGTTCAAACATCGTTAAATTTTCCCAACTTTTGTCAGCTCATGCGAACTTGCCAAGAGGATTACATGCACTTGTGCATGCATTATCTAACTATCACACTTTTTATATTTTTTTTTTCAGACCACGATATGTTCTAAGCAAACTCTAATTATAGGAAGCACATTTAAGCCCGTATTATACTCAGACTAATTCTTATATGTATCGAGTCGGCCTAATTAAGAGACAAAGTGATCACTAGATTGCCACTCTGTTTATATTTAATTAACTAATATATATATTACATACACAAACACTAGACACTCACAAACAGAGTATTTTATACCTTAATTATTTTATTTATACAAAAAGAAAATAAGAAAAGTAAATCTAAGGATGCATTGGTTTCATAATCTTACATGCATCTTGATCAATGATATAACATTATAACTATTGTATATTGGATCAATGATTTGGACATCGCTCACGGACAAAAAATAGCCTTCTAACAACACATTTCAAACCATTTAAAAAGTTAAAAGATATATTTTGCACTAGTTCAAACCTCATATTTAAAGGCTTTGAATTTTCCAACCTCATGGATATACCTTGATAATCATTCATGCATTATTCGTTTAATCGTTTTGATTGTATAAATATTTGAAACATCTCAACTATTAGAATTGAATTAATTTGATCCAATTCAAATTGAAATTACGTGAACCCTACTAAAAATTAAACATGAATTATATATACAATATATTTTAATTTTTTACTTTTATTTTATAATACTATAATGGACTATAAATATTATGGGACCACTTTTACACACACACACATACATATATACACTAGTATAGCACTCGTGTGATGCACGGATAGTAACATATATTCAATAATTATATCATTTATCAAATTTAAATAATATAAATAAATAAATACTCAAAATATTGTATAATATTCTAAAAATATCTTATTATAATAAAGTATGTATATTACCTAATATCAAATTTTACTTTATAATGACTTAGTGTTGGGATTAAATAAATAAATAAAAAGGACCATATACCGATACTTGTCTAACTACAAAATACTATGGGCATACAAAGATTTTTACTATAGCAAAAAAAACCTCAAGACGTTACTTAATTTGTGCGTATTTATAAGCAAGTTAAGGGACATCTAAAAGTTAGAGTGCCAAGTGACTTTTCTAGACACAAATTTTGAATTTGAAATTTTTAATTAAATGTAGTGAGCACAACAAATAATGTATTTGGCTGCCCAAAAGTATTAGAATTTGCATATACTAAACTATTACACTAAATATAATCTTCCAAGATAATATATTTCTTTAGTAAATGCAGACCATGTGTGTTGCCTACATGGTGGACCAGGGTCACCTTCCATGGTGGATCATGGTCCAAAACGACATCGTTTTATATCAAATGCCAATTAGTACATCATATTTAATAACATTATCATAGACTATGTTCATAATATTGTTCTATATGTCCACAAATCAAATCTTAGTGTCCATAAACAGAAACCTAAATATATACATTATATGCGTTTTCATTCATCTATAGTAGGTTCATAATATTCATTCTATATGTTCATAAAAATAAAGTTTAATGTACATAGACAGTATATTATGAACGCACCATGGAGTTTAAAATGACCACGGGACGTCCTAAAAGGACCACGGGTGGTTATTTTTTAAAACATGGAGGACCATTGGAGGTCATTTAAAACTCGAATGACCACAGCTGGTAAATCGCTAATACTCGGAGGACCATTGAAGGTATTAACTCCATTTTCTAATTAGGTGCATGACTATGAAATTTGCATCACAATTTGTCTTGTCGTCCAACTTCACAGCTAACTATAGTTTATTTTTATCACGTTTTGAGTTTTCTAACGATTTTATTATTTTTGTATTTATATTTTTTCATATACTATTAAACTAAAAATAAGACAAAATATCTTGTGCTCAGGGCATATAGTAACTCTTCTATATGGGAGGTCATGAGATCGAGCTTTAGTGGAGGCGGTATTGAATCAGTAGCATTCAAAAAAAAAAAAGACAAAATACTAAAGTCATGACTTTATATACCTATAGATTTATTTACAAATAATAAAATAAAAAATATCAATATGGATGTCATTATTTAAAAATAAATAAATCAAATATATCAATATGGATGTCATTAAAAAGATCTGTATTAGAGCTTTTTAATGATATATATTTTTATACATTAGTTTTATTTTTACAAAAAGAAAAAGAGGAAAAAAACTCAAGCTGAAATTAACATAAAATTACCATATGAAAGAAAAATATAATTAATTTTAATTTTAAATGACATTTTTATCCAAATGATTGATGTTACAGAAATGTCCCCAAGTTTTGGGGGGGGGGGTGAATCTTTCCTTGCACTTCTATTATTATATTTATACATTAGTTTTATTTTTACAAAAAAAAAAAAGTGAAAAAAAAAACTCAAGCTGAAATTAACATAAAATTACCATATGAAAGAAAAATATAATTAGTTTTAATTTTAAATGACATTTTTATCCAAATGATTGATATTACAGAAATGTCCCTAAGTTTTGGGGGGGAAATCTTTCAATAGATATAGAGTACTATTGACTCTATTACAAGCTAAGGTAGTATTAGATATAGAGTA